GTGTTATATACTCATTATAGAAAATTTGAAAACCAGAAAGAAAAAAGTCACCAATAAATTCCCTATTCAAAAATAATTCATTTTACTTTACATTTATGTATATGTAAAGTAAAACAAAAATCAAAGATGCACAACACATGTAATGTTCTTTGTTGAATATGATGAATATGGTAATCTCTTTGATTTGATTATTACACTCTGCATGCATGTTTTGAAAAACTATTATCATACCCCACAAAGATGCACAATAATTAAATGTAGCTAAGAAGTATATAATAAATAGAAATAACTCTTGTTTACGTTTGGCATATTTATCTCCAGAGTTATTTTTATGTGTTTCAGAAATTATAATAGTTTATGGGTCTGATAGGTGGCATAGTGGTTAAGGGCTCTTGGCTCCCACTTGGCTGACCTCAGTTCGAGCCCTGGACCTGGCAGCTTGCTTTCCTTTTTATCAGCATACATGTTATCATCAACAAATAATTTTTCATTTATTTCCTAATGTTTTTCTTTTTTTTATTTATTTATTTATTTATTAATTCACTTTACACCATCACAACACACAAATGAATTTTCCATCCAAAATACACTGTGCATTGTCTCAATCAAGTACATCCACATATATGTTCTCATCAAATAATTTTCCAATTCTTATGTCCTGCATACCTTGCCCTTTGTCTTGCCATCCCTGATTCCCCATCCCCCACCCTCTGCTATGTCCCACCTTCCCCCCCCTTTTTCCCTGGCATCCGTGGTTGTCCTCCATACCTTCCTCCCCCCCCATTCAATTGTTCTGCTAATGAACTTAATTAGTCTAAATAAATCCATTAGCTAGCACAGCTGACACAAACCTACACATGTATCCTAGTCTGACCCTAGGCATAAACCCCGGTGAGTAGAATGAACATACTATAAAGTAATACCCAGCTGTGCCCATACAGCTCGCTGCATTCATCAATGTGCATTTTTTTTTTCCTCCTGCAACTTTTTTTTTTTTTTTAAATATTATATTACCTAACACTCATTCCCTGAGCATCATCACAACATTCTAAATGTAGTTTCCCATCTAGGACAAACTACATAGTGACTTAATCAAGCATGTTATCATCAACAATATTCCCTTTCTACTTTCATACCATGTATACATACATATATGTTTTTTATCCTATCTTTGACCCTCTGCCCTTTCCCCCTCTCCCATTACACTATCTCTGCTATATACAGTTGTCTTCCAGGGGAACCATTGAAAATGTGATACCTGCAAGTAAAGGGAGAAGGGCCACAAGTTTAAAGTTTTCAACAATAGGGATCATAGATTCCATTCAATGTTGGATCAAGGGTGGGTCTCGTGCAGATCGCCATTGTAGGAATGATGCCGTGGGGCTCTACAGCGTGAGCTATCCTCGGGTATCTGGCTTCCTCAAGAATGGTAGAGTAGTTCCTGTTCTTCCCTGAGGCAATGCAGGGCTGGTAACCATCATCTTCTCACTGTCCATAGGCAGAGGAAGTCCTTCTATATAATATGTTTCTCAACTAGTTTAAGACAGCTAAAGATTCTTTCTGTTGCTTACAGTTGCAAGTTCTCAATCCTTGTTTTCCGCTTCAGCTTGCTGGTCCGGAGGCCACACGCCGGCCCTGGAGAAGCAGCTGAACGCCGGGTCGTGGGCCCCCCAGGAGGGACGGCTGCGCGCTGGGAGGGGGGGGCCGGCGGCTGGGCGGGCGCGCCGGAAATAAATAAATAAATAAAGTTAAAATATAAATAATAATTCAAAAAAATTATAATAGTATATTATAGATAAAATGCTTCCTCTTGATCTTTTTTTTTTTTTTTTTTCTGGCCAGAGAGCACATGCCACTCACTGGGGAGACAAGAAAGAGAAGGAGAGACACAGAAAGCACCTTCTATGTGTCATGGCCATGCTGCAATCCCTTTTTCTCCATCTCTCCCTCTTCCCAGGGTTGTGAGCACATACACACACATGCCCAGCATGTTTCTCAAGCTGTCGGGTCTGGGATTCAAACCATACAGTTAGCCATTTGGATTCCAACCGCCTTACTCACCACACCACAGGCTAGCCCAGTTGTTTTGTTTTATTTTAATGATATCATGTATATGCACACATGTGCACCTGAGAGTCAGAAAGAGAGAGAGAAACACCCTTAGCAGGGTCTAATCACGCTGCAATTCCCCTTCCCAGCCCCCAGGATCCTGGACTCTCACACATGTCTGGTGTGTTTTCAGACTGACTCGGGGATTTGAACCAACAGCTGCCCTATGGCTTCCAGGCTTGCAGAGTACACATGCTACCACTGTACTACAGTGGCTGGGCCATTATCTCAATTTTCTTTTTTTTAACTTTCCTCCTGCTGCCCTAGTTATGGCTACTAGTTGCCCACGTAATAATATTTGTCCTTTGCTCAGAAAACTTCAATGACATCTTCTAATAAATCTTTTATTAGTGCATTATAACAATGAATACTTATCCTAAGTGCTTAGTTATAATTCTCATAAAAACTCAAGGTGAGTTATCAATTTTACAGACGAGGAAACTGGGACTTGAGGAAGATAAATAACTTGCCCGATGATGTAACAAGGCCCAAAAGCACTCTTCTTAGCTAAGCAACTCTGATAAAGCCACAGCAGTGTCTCCTTGGTGAACTTGGGAGTATTTCAGAATCGAGAAAGGCCCATGAGCAAAGGGTGAGAGCCCAGAAGCTGATGCCGATAGCCACAAACAGGGCCCAGGGATCTGCAAACCACTTGGAGATGAAAGAAGGGATGGCGATTTTTAGCTAACATCTCCGGCAGGAATGGGTGGGGCCGTCAGGAGGCAGGACGTGAAACGGGGAGAGAGAGGAAACGTGAGAATCTCCCACTCAGAGGGCATGGTCATGCAATCCCATCTCCTTCATTCTTCTATTGGGATTTTGGGCATGCACGTGCATACACACACACCCACACACACACGCACACGCACCCAACATGTTTCTCAAGCTGCCGGTCTGGGAGTCAGCTACAGTCAGTCTTACAGGATTTACAGCCTTAACCACACCACCTACTGGACTTATTTTAACACTTTGTGCTTGTTTGTTTGTTTGATTTGAATGTTCCTAATTCCCCATTGCATCAACATCCAATGTTTATTTTTCTCAGCTATATTTATATTATAGTTTTTATGAAAGACTAATATTAAATTGATAGATGTAGCAACAGGGTTGCTACAAAACAGAAAAAAACAATCTTAAGAATAGTTGAGAGGCAAAGGTGCTACTTATTTAAATACAACTTCATTTTCTTTTATAGGCAGCCACCAGATAGCCTGAGCCTTTTATTAGGATTTGTCTTTGTAGTCGGACAGAAGATCTATGTCGTGCAAGTGGCAGCAGAGGGCGCTCTTCCTACAGATTAGTATGTACTAGTGTTTCTCTTTTCAAAGGAAAATGATTATAAAAATGCTTCTGTATATGTTAATAAGTTTAGGGCTCCTCATTAAAAAAAATAACTAAATAAATAGACTGAATGATAGCTAAATGGATCTACAGACACATTACTACTTTTGAGCTTCCTCCCCTATGCATTTATACTGAAAAAATGTGACTATTATTCCTTTGAATCATTACCACATTTTTCTCCCTAAGCATGTTAGCTTCCTATTTTGCCATAGAAATGTTCAATCTTGAGCCCAGAAAGTTGGGGCTTTGGGGGACTGCCCTTCCTGCCTTCGGTTTGTATGCTTTCCCTTGGGGTCCTCTCTGGAGGGCCACAGGCATTTTTGAAACATGTCCAGAAAAGGAAACGGTAGATGTAGTTCCTCCTAGCATGGCCTTGGTCATGCTCTCTGCTGTGCACAGGCTGCAGACTGCTCCAAGACGCCCCCCTTCCTTTTCCCTTTATCTCCCCCCTTCTTCCATACCTGTATTCCTCCACACCTTGCATCACTATTCTGTTTCCATTGTTGTCCACCTCCAAGGTCGTAGGCATCGCTGTGTAAGCTGCCCGCCTGTGGTAGCCAACCTCCAAATGGCTCCACACTCCACACTGCCTTGCACACACACACCCTGTGTAGTGCCCTACTGCAGTGAGCTGGGCTGACCACACTAGGAGGTTACGGGAATGATAGTGTGTGACTTCCAAAGTTAAGGTCACGAAAGACATGCGCCTTCTACTTTGCTCTCTCTTAGATCCTTAAGCTACGTTGGGAGGATGCTCAAGTAGTTTGATGGAAGGTCCATGTATTTAGCAAGAAGCTAAGCCTTCCTGTCAACAGCCAGAAGTGTCTTCCCAGCCATGCACATGAGCCAGATGGAAACAAATCCTCCAGTCCCAGTAAATCCTTCCAATGACTGCAGCCCTGGTCAATGTCCTGTCTACAACCTCAGAAGAAACCCTGAGCCACAACTACCCCATTTCTGTATTCCTAAAGCACAGAAACTGAGATAATCAGTGTTTACTGCCTTGACTGGGGGATTACCTACTGGGCAGCAATAGAGACTAACACTCTTTTCATCGTGCCTGACGATAAGCTTAACACCACTGTCTGTGTGGCTTCACATCCTTACGATGAAAGCTCTCCAATGACTCATCATCAACATCAGGATAAAATCTAGATGCCCTGACACAGCGGAGGTCTTTTGCGAGCTGGCTCCTGTGTGCCCCGCAGCCTCTCTGCCTTTCCTCTCCCCATCTCTCCAGCTGCCCTGGAACACGTCACATCTCCCCAGAAGTGGATAGATAAAATTGCCCAGTTAAATTTGAATCTTTAGATTAAAACACAAATGATTTATGTGGTTGTACAATATTTGGGCCATACTTATGCTAGAAATATTGCATAGCACATACTTTTCCTAAAAAGCTGTCCCCTGTTTGTCAGTTATTCAGGTGCAACAGGGCATTTGTACTTAGAGTTTCTAATGTGGCAGCCCTACAGGGGTGAGCTGCCTTTTTCTTTTTTTTTAATGGTGATAAAGTGTGTATTTAGAATTAGCCAGCTGGACTCGCTTTAGATGGTCCCGATTTTGTTGGTGACATCCAGAGCACCATAATCGGGAGCCAGTCGCACATACGCCTTCCTCTGTCCATCAGGCCTGATTAGAGTGTTGACCTTGGCCACACCAATATCATAGAGCTTCTTCACAGCCTGTGTGATCTGGTGCTTGTTGGCCTTGACGTCCACAATGAACACAAGTGTGTTGTTGTCGTCTATCTTCTGCATGGCAGACTCGGTTGTCCGGGGGAACTTAATGATGGCAGAGTGGTCGAGCTTGTTTCTCCTGGGGGCGCTCTTCCAAGGTTGTTTGGGCTGCCTCTGCAGCCGAAGAGTCTTGGACCTCTGGAAGGTGGGCAATGTATGAATCTTCTTTTTGTGTGTGTGGCTGTGGACGCCTTTCTGCACTGCCTTCTTGGCCTTCAAAGTCTTTGCTTTAACTTCAGCTTTGGGAGGGGCAGGAGCTTCCTTCTTCGCTTTCGGCGCCATCTTGGTGGAAAAAAGGCAGGGTGAGCGGCTTTCTCACAGCTCTTGCTTATCCTCTGGCCTGGGTTGCTGTAGCTCCCTGTGGCTAACCCCCTCTCCTGCAAGATTCAGCCTTTATAGCAGTGTCCCAAGAAAGCCTACCTGCCTTCCCCCATCATGCACACACTAAGTATGGGGGTTGATGTGTAGGCTCCAACCCACCTCATCTCACCTCTCACATCACACTCATTGCTGCTTTCATGTGCCCGTCTCCAGTTCTAGACTCGGACTCCCTGAGGTCAGGCACTGGGAAGTAGAGGGAAATAATACACACTCACTCTCGGGGTCCACCGTCACAAAATCCCACACATCTCAATGGTACCTGCCCCAAGGGGCACTCTGTACTTCCCAAGTGGTCAGGAGGGGTCTCCTACCCTAACTGATCACAGGGCACCCATGATGAATTGAGGGCTAACATTTCTGAGCATGCTGGCCTCTGCACCCAGAGCTTTCTGTGTGTTACCTTATCTATCCCCACAATGATATTGTCAGGTTTGGTACCATCATTATCAAGATATACAGAAGGAAACTAAGTAATTGGCCCAAGCCATGCAGCTAGCTAGAGAACAGCTAGATTTCTAACTTTATGCCATGTTGTGAAAGAAGACTCTTCTGCTGCCCCCTCCTTGGGGCGCCAGGACTTCCCTGAAGGCCAAGTTCAGCCCTTCCAGTGGAGCCTGAGGACAGGACACACTTACCAGCAGTGGTTCTCGACACGCACTGCACGGAAGTTCACCTGGGGAGGTGGTTCAGTGGGTCCTCTCCAGACAAAATGAATTACGTTTTCTGGAAGGTAGAACAAAAGCATTCCTGGATGCTCTGGAAGACGCTAGAGGGCAGCCAGAATTGAGAGCCGCTCCCCTCGAAGCCATTCTCAATGGCTATATTAAACTTTAAAAAGAAAGTGCTAAGAGCCTCATATTAGAAATCTATTCAGAATAGCATCTGCTCCTTTCTCTCCAGGGGCCATCTCTGAACAGACTGTGGGGGTGGGATACGTCATGGAGGTTCTCAGGACTTGCCTTTATTCACCTGTGATGCATACATCATAAGACTGTTCACTTGAATGTAGAGATGAGTGCTTCCCTCAGGCTGCTAAGGAAAGACCATCCCTCAGTGCTTTCTCTGCACCTGCAGGAACCTGAAAGCTAGGTGCCCTAGATAGGCAATTCATTTGGTGTGGGGAAGACCCACTGAATCACCTCCCCAGGTGAACTTCCGTGCAGTGCGTGTTGAGAACCACTGCTGGTAAGTGTGCTCTGTCCTCAGACTCCACTGGAAGGGTTGAACTTGGCGTTCGGGGAAGTCCTGGTGCCATGAGGAGGGGGCAGAAGAGTCTGCTTTCACACCACGGCATAAAATTAGAAATCTAGCACTACTCTTGCCTCACCCTAGTCCTGACCAGGGAGGAAGTTTTCACATAAAATGAGAAACAAGAAACCAATAGGAAAAAATTAAGCAGTTCACATCAATGTATGACAATAATATCGATCTACAATTATATGGATATAATGTTTACCTGTTAGAGTTTTTGGTTGTAAGCAACACAAACCTACCCTGGTTAAGTTAAGCCAACACATTTTTGAAGGCATATGGAATGGGTCACAGTCCAAGGAAAAGCAGTGGCCTCAGACAATGCAGGAGCCAGCTACTGCAGTGAACAAGGCTGCAGAATCCTTTCAGGAAATGACGCTAGAGATGTGGCCTTCCATTTGTGATCATTGACTCTTCTCCCAAGATTCAAATCTGCGGTCAGAGGTTCTGAGTGGCTGACATGACTGCCCCTTGGTGCTGTGACTACCAGGTCTAACAACATTCTATCCACTAGGATAGCTCCCCATGGCAAAACTAGAACACTGTAACGGAAGGAAGTGGGGTGACCAGATGTTCACTCTTGTGTCGTGCCATTGATGTGTTTTTGTCTCGGACATAATGTCCTGTGTGGTGGCTGATGCAGGACATCTGCATTCCAAGTAAAGTTATGTCCCAATTGCTACTCCCTTAATGTTACTGATCATTTCAAAAGCGCTGTTCATGGGAACCAGCAGTTAACGTAATGGCTATGTCGCTGGACTCCCACGTAGTCGACCGCAGTTCGCATCCCGGACCCGGTGACTTAAAACTCTCGCCGGGTGCGTGTGCGTGCATGCCCAAGATCCCAAGAGGAGAATGGAGGAGAAGGGATTGCAGCGTGACCATCCCCCCTGGGGGGTGTTTCTCGCTTTCTGTCTCTCTGTCTGTCTGGCGAGCGCACGCGCCCTATAGCGAAAACCTCTCCAAAAAAAAGAAAAAGCACTGTTCATATGTCACTCAATATTGTAATATTCTCAACCACGTTGGACTGAGAAATGTGGGTTTGCCGAGCACAGAGATTATATGAAGACTTGAAAAAGTTCATGGAAAAATTAAATCTATTTTTAATTTACTTTGCTGCAAAAGAATTGGAAATCCATGCATAGTTTTTCATAATACACTTCTTCCATGCACTTTTCGAAGTCTCCTTGCATACCTGTTTAACTTGCTACCACTAGGTGTGCGGAAGCAAAGGACAGAAATAGCCATGCTGGGCTTGCAAAGGTAGCTTCTCCTGTGTCGCTATCATCGTGTCTTTTCAAGCATTGCAAATCAGTGCATACCTTAGCAGTCAACCTTACACCAGGAAACTCTGGATCCACAAAGCCTGGGTTCCGATTCTCTGCTACTTACTCACTATGAGACTTCTCTGTGCCTCAGGGTAGCATACCTGTGAAGAGTTCATATCTGTAGGTACTTCATTCAGTACCTGGCCCATGATAAGTACTCCAAAGCATTTGCTTTGTACCTCGTTTCCTAGTTCCTATTCATGGCGAGAGTTTATGGGAGATGGTAATAAGGGACTTACTCTCATTTCTTTCATTTTTGTTTTTAAGAATTATTTAGGGGGCTAGCAGATGACACGATGGTTGAGGGCACTGGATTCCCACATGGCTGACCACAGTTCAAGTCCCAGACCTAGTGGCTTGCTTTCTCACTTTCTTGCTCTCTCCCTCACTCTGTCTCTCTCTGGTCAAATTAAATACATAAATAAATGAATAAATAAAGTTGAATAAAATAATTCTTTAAGAAAAGAAAAAAAAATTGGGAACCAGCAGTTAGCGTAATGGCTATGTCACTGGACTCCCACGTAGTCGACCGCGGTTCGCGGCCCAGACCCGGTGGCTTAAAACTCACGCCAGGCGTGTGTGCGTGCGTGCCCAAGATCCTGAGAGGAGAATGGAGGAGCCGGGGTTGTGGCATGACCATCCCCCCTGGGGGGTGATTTCTCGCTTTCTGTCTCTATGTCTCTCTCTGTCTAGCGAGCGCACGCGCCCTATAGCAAAAACCTCTCAAAAAAAATTAAATAAAAAAATTTTTTAAATTTTAAAAATTTAAAGATAATTATTTAACTTTATTTATTTATTTTAGTTTGACCAGGGAGAGAGATCGGGGGAAAGTAAGAAAGCAATCCAGCAGGTCTGGGACTCCAGTGCCTTAACCATCATGCCACCTGCCATCCCTGACTTATTCTCATTTCTAAAGTTTGGATCTGCTTCAGAGCAAGCTCTCTGCCCATGTCACAAACTGAGCTTCCCTGGGAGTAGAATATGGATTTGAATCATTTTTGCTCTTCTTTTTGTTCTTTGCTCACTTCTTGGCCCCATGCCATTGCCTTCTGCTGCACTGCACAGCAGAGTATGAAAATCTCCTGAGGTGATCCAGGTGATGCTTCACAACAATGCACGCAGTTCATCCATGACGATCAAGGTCGGTGTGACCAACCCCTCTGCTGTGATTGGTGCAGGACCTGGAGAAATGTATACAGTACCCTGGGGTCCCATACACAGTCACCGCCTCCCCTCCATCGTTCTCACCCTAGATTATTTCCCAATTTCTTCCTGCCATATTTAGTGACTGAAAATACAGGACCCCAAGTAAAATCTGAATTTCAGACAAATGGTGACTACTTTTTATTTGTTGCTTAGCTGACATTCAAATTTAACCAGGTGTCCTATATCTTATCTGGCACCACCACACCAACCTACTGTGAGCACAAGTGCCGCTGGACTGTCTGAGTAGGAGGGTAACGGCTGCTCCAGCTAGCCCTATCCGGAATCTAGGATGCTCCGCAGCTCTCTGTGCCGCTCCCTGGGATCCAGGATGCTCAGAGGCTAGCTTCAATTGACATCATGTCTGCCAACCCCAGCACAAGGCACGTCTCCAGCAACATCATCCCACAGGAAGCTCGCAAATGAGAGGGCTGTGCTCATACAAAGTTAGGGAACTCCACATTCTCTTTCACTCCAGTTACTTCCATCCCAGGTTACAAGTTATTCTTTCCAATATTTTGGTTGTATCGTGTTGTATTTTCTATGTTCTATACTCACTGTTTCATGCAGTGAAACTTTGTTTAGATTGGCACCTTTAGAAATGAATTGCTCTGCTCACTAGGTCTTCTTGTAGCTCAGATCTTCTTTCTAAAGTTAGTTTCTCTCTTCCAAAAAGACATCTTTTAAACAAAGTTTGTTGGGAGCATCCTCTCGGTTTTTGTTTTGTTTTGTTTTGTTTTGTTTTGTCTTAAAATGGCCTTTTTCCACCCTCTTCCTTGAAAGCCCGTTTGAGCATACAGTTCTTCATTGACAGTGATTTTCTCCCTACATCCTATTCTACTTAAGTTTTCACTGTTTCCCAGCTTTGGTGTTGGGGTTAGGACCGCTGTCAGACTGTCAGTCTAGTGGGTGCTTCTCTGTAAGCACTCTGTCTTTTATCTCTAGCAAGTTAGACTCTTTTCTTTTCATAGTTTTATTGCAATAGGTTTAGACATGAGTGTATTTTTCTAATGACGATATGGCTAAGAGTCATAGTGATAACGACATCTATAGATTTGTGTTTTCCATAAATTCCAGCCTATTTTTTGACTATTATCTACTCATGTATTCTCTCTTCTC